TTCCCTTTTTCTGTAATGTACAAGTAGATTACCAGTTAGAGGTGTGGCTGTGCTGTTCCACTTAAGTGCACTGGTTTCAGGTATAAAAAATAGCACACACACATTATATGTTGAATTATGATATGTGAATTCACTGTAGTTAACAAGTTGCTGTGCAAGTAAGCCAATGAAATCACTGAGACCACTTCCACGGTGAACTAATGCCCAGTATAAGTAAAGATACCAGAATGTGGTCCTAGGAGATTTTAAGACCAGAAAAATGGGCTAAAAAAGGATCTTTCTCAAAATAAACATACTCAAAAGTGCTCAGTGCAAACATTTTTCTGGAGATGAATCTGTATGCAGAACAATACATCCTCTTAAGCAATCTGGTCCTCTTTCAAACCTAGCTCAGTTAGGCCCATTTAAAAAATAAGAAGAAAATGATCTTGGCCTAGATTCTTCTTTTCCTTCTTTTGTTTTCCTAAGGAGGAGGAAAAAACTCTTACAGTGTATATCTACCAGGGATACACAACCACATCTTTATTTGAACTGGAACTAATGCAAGTACAATTTTAAAAGCTTGATATAAGAAAAAGAATAATACAGTAGTTAAAGCCTGTGTTTCTACCACGAGTATACAACATATGTGATTTTTTTTGCCAGCCACCTTGATGGAAATCCTCCAATTTTTTTTTCCCTTTTCTTCATAGTATGTTTATTTTTTACTCCTCTTTAGTACTTTATCAGCATAATATATTTTCAGGGGTGTCTAGGCATGTTCATGTCTGTATCTAAGATATATGGTATAATCTGGCAACTAGTATGAAACTAATCACTTGCCTTTTAATAAGGGGTTAAAGCAGCAATTTTAGGGCCTGACTCTGTTGCTTTGAGCAACCTCAGGTCCCAATAAATTAATTACCTTATGTAAATGGGTCCAGATTTAAACACCCTGGCCATGTCCAGACGAACACACCCATGTGGTATTTGGCACCACAAGACATGTCTGTGGCATCAGACATAGCACATTCAAGTGTTCTCCACACTGCAAGAAGTCAAAAAAATCCTGGGGTGAAAAAACCCATACAAAAAAAGGCAGATATTCAAGGTTAAAAAAAACCCACAAAAAAGGTGGAATGACGCACGTGGGGGCAGTGCACACCACCCAAACCTGGAGCCTGGCTGGCCAGAGCCTCACTTCAGCTGCCAGGCAGGCTACGCACAGCAGGATCGCCACTGCTGCAGCCCCAGGAGGCCCTTGGGCCGCCAGGTAAGGCTGCTCAGGCTAGCCCAGTGCTGGCCCCAGCCTCCCCTATCTCACCCGGGGTAACCTGCTGCACACCAGAGGGCACATGGCACAGGATTTCCTCGGGGGCAACTAGTAGCAGCACAAGGTGTCCCACTGATAGTTGTCTATAGGGAACCAAGTGTCCATGCTCATGTGGATGCAGCCTCTGGGTTCAGATCTTAAACACCCAACAAGTCCCTTAGGAGTAATGGCTGAGTTAGGTCCAAAAAATTAGACCTATAATTAACTGAAATTAATTTGATATGTATGTGTCTATGTTTGCTGATGGTCCTATCGTCACAGTGTCTGAATGATTCCAGCCAGTGGAAACAGAATTAGAAAGTTGCACTGAATGGACTGATACATTTTTTTTTATTTGATTTTTGGCTGGGTAATATTTTTTTAC